TCTGATTGCCAAACCATGTCTTGACATGAACCGCTGTAACCAACCGGAACTGGCAAGAAACGATGGTGGCATTTCCTTCTCTTTGCATTTCTCGTTATCGAAAAATTTTGCTTTGCTTGCGATCATTTTTCTGGAAACACGAAGGCCATTGGAACGGCGCTCATGTACCCACTGTAATAATGCTTCTTCTAGGTCTTCATCGAATGGCTTTCGTCCGCCTCCTTCAAGCCGCTTTCTCTTGCTGCTAGTATCTTCCAATTTGCTTTTCTTTTGTCGCCATTCTCTTACTCTCTTGCGGTCGACACCAAACTTTGCTGCGGCTTTTCGGTTACTGTTACACTCTTCGGCAAATTGAACAGCCTTAAGTTTAAATTCGTTAGAATAAGAAGAGTTCTTCAATCCTGCGTGCGATGTAGATGCTAGAGTTATACTTTCGTCCATGATGTCAAAGGTAAGCATGCTGTAATGCGAGAAGGCCGGAAAAGACCTCCCATGAGAAGATCACATTGTATCACGTGCTACCAAACACGTGTGTGACATTCATCTGCTGTTTACAACATGGCGCGTTCAAGCTATACCTTTACTTGGCAAATGGTTTACGAAATAGAATTTGCGTCTGTGATAAGAGGACACCATGTTTATAAAGCTGAATGGTCACCACAGCTTGGAGAACGGCTAGTGTGTCGGAAAGACGATCGAAAGGAGGCTAAAGAGCACGATGAATATGCGATTGGAACATTTATTCAAGACAGTGGCAAGCTGGTTGGACATGCGCCCATTGAACTTTCCTTCCTCGTGTTTACATTTTACGAGCTCATGAGGATAATGCGGTGGAGGTAAAAGTAACTGGAAAAGAAAACTTGAAAACGGCCTAGTTGTTCCAGGAACTTTAAAGCAGTAACACGAAGCCGGCGACTGGGAGCAAAGTTTAACGAGGAACTTGATAAAGTAAAGCTCCTATGTGCCCACATGGATATTGAAATCAAGCAAATGAGAAGCAAACCTCTGAAGAACATTGATTTTGAGTTCTAACGAATGTCCGTTACCGATGTAAAAAATTAAAAATACTGTGTATCGAACTGAGTACCGAAGTTCATCTTTTATCGGGGGAAGGGTGGGGGTGGGGGCGCTTATTTGAGAGGACGCTTAGCAAAACCCGTCTTTTCTCGAGGGGGCGCTTATTTCAAAATTTGAGTCCTAGGGGGCGCTAATTCGAAGCGGGGCGCTTATTGGAAGCTGGGCGCTTATTCGAGCATTTACGGTAGTTTGATAATGAAGATTTACATGAAGTACATATTTCTGTCAAACCTTCATAATTCTTTTAACAGATAATTGATTTGAAAAAAGTTATGCTAAAGTATCATGTCTATCAACTTCATGATGGGGGGCATGGATATGAAGAACTTGAGGATGATATATCTGCTCCAGACAACTGGCTTTTGCCTACAGGTGGGTAAATTTTGCCTGCAGGTGGTCAACTCACTTCAGTCCCAGGTCTTTTCGCTTTCACGAGTTATAAGTATTAGCAACTAATACAATTAATTCATCATTTTTAGAGGATTTTCAGGGCTTGTGGAAAAGCTTGCTCTTTGACTCGGATGTGAAAAATCAGGTTGTTCTTCATAATGAACATTTAATGATTTCTCTCGTAAGCGAAGTTTAAATTGTAGCTTGTTAAGGACGTCTTTAGCGCCGAAATAAGTTAACGTTTAAACAGTTAGCTGTCAAAACGTCAAATAGATTTTTTAAGGATTTTCCTAATTTCTCCTATTTTCCAATGTACATTATGTACTCGGAGTTACTGATCAACGGAGTTACTGATCTGCTAACTTATTAATCTCTAATATTTTCAAAAGGTTTACGCAAGCGATGACATTGTGCACCGTAGTGGTGACAAAGCTTACTTAGTAAACATTAAAAATACACATCTCAGCAATTCTAGCGAGTTATATCGATTAAAAAATGTTAAAAATTTTGTTGTTCTAATTTATTTACGAAAGTATATGTCGTGCCATGACTATGATATTTCATGTATCTCATTTTATCTTATTTTTTAGTTGCTAAAATATGCGGCAACGACACTTCTCTTCTCCGACAGGTTTGTCGTGTGAAATGAAACTATTGAACTGAAGACTTTTTAGAGAAGCCAAATTGCAAAATCATTCGTTTTTCCATCTTTTTAAAATCACTCCCAAACAATGACATTTTCAAAGTATATATTAGTCACGTGTTTGAATCATATTTTAGAGGCGTGGATTTCAACATCATCTCGTGAAATAAAGTTACCTTATTGCATGGTAGTTAGTTTCCTTGGTAACCAGACGTGAGTCCTTGCGTCATCGTCCGTCACGTGTATCTTTTTGCGAATCAAATTAGATTCTATTTTTGCGTGTGTTGACTTTGTAACAACTCTCATCTTAACGGAGTAAATCTCTTATCACTCATAACATTCAAGATTGAAAATCACATATCAAAGTATTGATAAGAATAAGTTAGCTACAATCATATAGAATGAAACGCGAGAGACGTGATGGTGTTTTAACGAGCCAACTATTAAATGACGTCAAGGCTACCATGTTTGTGTACCGCTGTGACGTCACTCGAAAACAAACAACGAATCAAACAACAGCCACTCATAGTACATGATGTTTGTCTTCACGTGATCTACTGCAAATATCCAGAAGAATGAGTTGAGCTTTTCTTTAAAACTTTCACAGAGCCAACCGGTACAGAAACATCCTTATGCAAGGCGCTTGCTCAAAATTATCCATACGACTTTCTAAAAGGTAAAACACTACATTTTATTTTGATGTTACGTAAATCGCAATCCATTACTATCCATGTGTGTAATGCAACTAATATTTCCACGTAATTTTATTGTTATGTCGTGAATTATAAATACAAAGTATAATCCGAAAAGGTTATATCCGAAAATGTTGTAAACTCAACATCAAATTTAGAAAACAAGACGATTAAAATGTAAATATTACACTTTCAATTGTTTTGCTTTGTAACTTTTATTTAAGTTTACAAGATGTTCTTTTTTGGCATTATCTTTTACTTTGTTTTTAATGAAATTGTCGTCTACCTAAGGATTATGAACTATAAATTAAAGTGTGTTTCTACTTTTGAATCCTTAGATTTAACTATAATAGCTTATTGAAATAAACATTCACAGTTTATTTTCCGAGGTAGGCATCATTTTGAATAGCTCAAAGCAACATCACCGAGTGCAAAAATCCTCTGGAACCAAAAATTACATTGCCATAAATTTTCCGTGAAACCTTTGTCGTCACCCCCTGTCAATATAAATGCACGGTTTCACATCAAAATATCAGTTCAGAAAACTGACATTTATATACCTGGGATTGAGATGTCGTTGAAGTTAATAAATCTAGTTCCGTATCACAAAATGATCATATCCATTAAAAAAGCATCTGTAATTTAAATACATTGACATTATCTTTCCTTACAAACAGAGTGGAAAGTTAATGAGTTGAAAAATGTTTCAGAAAATTCAAGAGTTTATTGACGACAAATAAGCTTGTACGCTTAATACGTATTTACTGTTTAAACGAAGTGAA